CCCCCCTGTGTTTCCCAGGCGGAGCAGACATATGGGAAGGTGTGTGTGTGTGTGTGTGACTGTAGTAGCAGGGGGGCAGGGCTAAGAGAGGGCGAGGGAGGTAGGGGGAGGGGTTTGTTTATTTCAGTTTTTTTTTATGGTTACTGCGCCTCCTGAGCCCACAGGGGAGAAAAATTAGGGAGAGAGAGACATAGAGAGAGAGACACAGAAAGAGAGAGAGATACATATATATATATATATATATAGAGAGAGAGAGAGAGAGGGGGACAGAGATGATGGAGAACAAGAGAAGATGGTAAGCAGTATGAGCGGCGGGCGAGAGACGAGCGCGGCGGGAGCAATGCACCGACACACGGACGCGTAGAGGCAGAGGGAGCGTCAGTCCGCCGCTCGTCGCCCAAACAATGAACGTGCTGTGGTCGCTGCCGGCAACGCATCGCCAAGGCAACCGGAGCCAGAGGGGTGCGCACTGTGCGAGAATGGCAGAGAGAGAGAGAGAGAGAGAGAGAGAGAGAGAGAGAGAGAGAGAGAGAGAGAGAGTCTTCCTTCAATGGATAGATGCTTCCCTTCTTCTGTGTGTGTGTGTACATGTGTGTGTGGCTGATCATGTGCGTGTGTGTGTGGTCGGTGTCTGTTGGCGGCCGCCTGTCTGACTCTATGATCTTCTGTCACCATCCAGGTGAATACAAGAAGGACGAGCTGCTGGAGGCGGCGAGGTGAGTACTACTCTCTTTGTTTTCATTCCCCCCCTCTCATGTTTTGACTCTTCCTCGTTTCCTTGACTCCTTCTCAGCCTCTTGTTTCCATGCTTACTTTCTTCTCTGCTCCTCCGTTTCCTTTCCACGTCTTGTTTCCTCTCATCACTTATTTCCTCGTGCCTTCTACTCCTTCCTTGTTCACTGTTTCTTCCTTTCCCCTCCTCTCTGCCCCTTCCTCTTCTCTTCGATCCACTTGTGTTTTCTGTTTCCGGTCCTTGTTTCTTACCCTCCTCTCCTTTTTGGTTTGTATACTTCCTCTCAGCTCTTCTATTTGTTCCTCTCTATTCATCCTCTATTCCCTCTCCTGTTTTTCCATTTTGTTTCTCCTCTCCTTTTTTTCATCCTGTCCTTGTTTTTAATTTCCCTTTTCCTCTCTTTGGCTTTTCTCTTTTTTGCTTATTTTCTCTCTACTTAATCTTCAATTCCATCATTCAGACATTTAGCTGCTCCTTCCTTCTTCTTTCCTTTCCCTCCATCACACACACACACACACACACACACACACACACACACACACACACACACACACACACACACACACACACACACACACACACACACACACACACACACACACACACACACACACCAAGCTCCTCCACTAGACAGGTTTTTCAGATCCAGAGAACATGTAGGCCAGGGACACTTGTGCATTTTAGAAGCATGTTATGGTTGCGGGCAAACCGTGTGTGTGTGTGTGTACCATGTGCCTGTTTGTTTGTAGGAATGGCATAGCTTTCGTTTGGGATTGTGTGTGGGTGGCTGAGCGCTCAATGCCTCAACAGCCTCTCTCTGTACACACACACACACCACACACACACACACACACACACACACACACCACACCACACCACACCACACCACACACACACACACAAGCAGCTGGCTTAGCATCGCAGTACCCCAGTGTATTATGGGGGTCAGCAGGCTGTTTAAGTGTGAACTGTGAACTCAGTGTGCCTCCACCACAGCTGAGGCGCTGACTGGCTCAATGTCAATCCAAAGAAAAACGTGTTCCTTTTGGTGAAATAACATGGCTTAAGGGATGTTTTTGTTTTTCTGCTTCATTTTTTTCCCCGTTTTTATTTGTGGGCCAGATTATCCTTGCACAGAAAGCGGTATGCAAGCATCATGAGTAGAGCTGGTAAAATGGTTCCACATAGTCTGAGAGTAATGGAGTTGCTTGATGCATTGACTGAGCAAAGCATTATCATTAATGTCCTCAACAGCAGATGTATTACAGAAGTACTGTAGTAAACCTAGTCTGTCTCTTTAAGGCAGCCAGGCAGACAACAAGCCGGCAGTACAAGTCTGGCTAACATTCAACATCTGAAATGATGTTTGTCTGATCTGTTCACATTTATTCTTTGAAAGTACTATTTAATCAAAATTGTACTTCTGATCAGTATTTTGATCTGTAAGCTTATACAAGAAGCGGCACTTTCCATATAACACCTACCTAATCTATTGATATTCGAACAGCATTAACCAGTCCAAATGTAAATCCAAAGGCTGTTCTTTTTTGGTATCGTCACCATTACCCTTCGGCTTTGGTGATTTGAAGGCTTTGAGATAAGATAATCGAAAAAGAAGCAGTGGAGACCCAGTCACACTTAAAGATTTCAGAAAAGCATTTTTCGTTTCTTACGTGAAAACATTTATAAATATTCAGTCATGGTTGTGAGCACTGTCCCTCGACGGCCACTGTAGATCATGTGTGTGAGATCTGACATTCTCCAAAAATATATAAGAAGAAAATGCTACTCATGCTCCTTTTTGAATTTGTTTTAGAAATAGAATCACTTTGGATTTGTGAACATGGTGATCAGGATACGACCTCCCGGAGAAGATGGTGAGGACTGTCTGCGTGCAACTCAAAATGTGTGACTGAATCGTATTTTAATCACAATTACGATTATGGCTTGCAACGATTACGAAAACAACGTAATCGAAATAAAACAATTATTTTTTATTATTATTATTAAAAAAAAATGTTATTGGTTTTTCAGTTGAGTCATACTTAAAGTTCAGGGTAATCAACTGTTAAAAACATACTGTTCAATTATTGACCCAAATAATCGAGATTATGATTTTTGACTGTACGCTTAGCTAGTGCAATGACTGTGCACCTGTTAGGTTCACACTGTAGTCCAGTTGGTGGAACATACAGCTCTAGCTGGTTTTCAGAAAAGGAACAAGACAAAAATAATCATAAACTGAATGATTGTTTTAAAGAGAGATGTATGAGATGATTCACTGAACAGTTATTTACATAATAAAGGTATGTGAAGAAAGCCAAATGGCATTGAAGTTAACATGCAGTGTGAATAGGTAAATGTGCAATTGGCGGTCCACGGACACACAATGCAAAAAGTTAGTATGAGCCTTAAAGGTAGAAAACTGGAAGAGTGAGAGTAGAGATTGGAAGTTGTGAATGTCTCTTTTGTTCAGAGAGTGTAAGATAGAGAAACAAAGAGAAGGAAGGAGAGGCCCAACCAAAAAAAGAGAGTGAGAGGAAAGCAACATAGCAGAATGGAAGAATAATCCTTTTCTTTCCATCTGACAGCTTCCTCCTTTACGGCTGTCAGGCAGATGATGGTTTGACTGGTCGCTGCCTTGGCAACACTTTCCTGGTGGTCACACCAATGCCAAGGCAGTGAGCCTAGGGACCAGGAAACACCGATCAACAACATAACAAACTCCACTGCCACTAGACTTAATAGTTTTCCTTCACACTTTTTATTTTATTGCAATCATTTTTACAAGAAAACACACAAACAAAAATAGCTTTCAATCCATCCCCTCCAAACATCCATTTTTTTCAGTGTGTTTCTTCCTTTTCTTATCTCAATCTTCCATTTTTTCCCCCCACACTCTCCTGCAGAGGAGCAGGGCTAATCCTCTCTGGTATTGGATGTTTTCTATCTAATGCCTGGATGTGTGTGTGTTTAAATGTGCAGGAGTGGAAACGAGGAGAAGCTAATGGCCTTGCTCACACCGCTCAACGTCAACTGCCACGCAAGCGACGGCCGCAAGGTAAAGGCACTCAAAGACACATGCACAGTGTTAAGCTCATCATTGTTTCTGTTAAAATGCATCTCACGGTAAGTCTTCAGTGTGAAAAAAGCAACTGGTTCCTTCAACGTTTTATTTTTTCGACCAGTAAAGAGAAACAAATCCTGTTATTTGCAGGTTGGATGTTTGACATAATCAAGTCACTCTCCTGCAAACATGAGCAGCCTTTCTTGGTTGTTGAAATGAATAAAGGGAGACACAAACCTTTGACCCAGACACCAATAAAACGTCAAATAGTACATTTCAAGGTTGTTGATTGAGGCATACACAACCAACATGTGGCAAACTAAGCAGTGAGACGACAAACAAACTTCCGACTTGTGATTACCGCTTGTTTGTAACAATATGGCACTAGCCAGGTTAGCGTGCTCTACATACATGTTCATGCTTATTACACAGGTGGATTTATAAAGTATTCACTTTTTACTCGCAAATGTTTCATTGCACATATTGAGCACCATTGTGTGTTTTTATTTTTTAACCAAACACTTTTCAGAGGGGCGTGGCCAGCAGCAGCTCATTTGCATTTAAAGCTACGGACACAGAATCAGCACTTTTGAAACAGGGCTGAAACAGAGGGGTTTATGGCATGCTACAATTCATAATCGGTTTGGTTTTTCGAGCCAAATACTTCACACACTTGTTTTGTTTTTCTCTGAGACCTGAGAATATATAGTTTGAAAAATACTATAATAGGTGACCTTTAATCTTTTAGCCTGTATAATACTTGGTTTCGGTAACAATCCCTTGCTTGACAGAGCTTATCAGTCAGCTAATTAGTTATTAATTCTAGCGTTGTTCGATTGTGGATTATGGAGTGAGACTTTAGAGCATGAAAATTACTGGACCTGCCAAAAGAAACCCCCTGGCAACAGTGAAAGTGCATGGCCAACAGAGGAAAGTGCTGTATTACATCCTGTTGTTCGTTTAATAACAAGTATTTTGTAGGCATGGCATCCACTCATGCGATCCTTAGAGAGTCCTGAGCCTCAGGTTGAGCTCTGTTGGGTCACAGCAAGCAAATTAGCTGGTGACTAATTAGTCCCCGGGATGGATAAGTAGACTTGTTTCCAGCTTAGTATCTCCTCACTCCGGTGAGGCACTCCCCGTATCACTGTTTCCATCCTGACAGAAGTAAAGACTGCTGCTGACCCGGTTTCTCCTCCAGAGCCGCTCGAGATTGAAGCTCCACTCCGCAGTGGCAGATCGCCAAACAAGTTTTGAATTCTTCATGAGTTCTAGCCGGGCTCCCCTGGGGCGTATTATCTCTGCTGGCGCATTATGCGATGACTTGCTCCACCTATATGAGCTGTGTGTTGTAGAAGCTTGCTATTATGGAGAGATGATTTCATATGAAAAAAGATTTGATTGGTCAGAGACATTTTTCAGAGATTGCTGTAATTGATTGGACGGTAAAGCAGAGCCTGTCGTATCTTTTTTCTTTGCTATTTCAACTACTAGGGCCAGCAGGCTGCCAAAGCAAGGCTTTTACTCTGAACTCTTGTTAACTGTCATATAAATGCTCTAACAGCTTGGAAGAGGCTTTTTTCCTATAATTACGGACACTTCAGTGTTGCTGTTGATAATTCTTAGCTGCAGCTTGTAACCGTCAAACTGTCATATGCATGATTGTGATAGATCATCCTCTAGATATCATCTGTGCAGGTGTTGGGATGTGATATCCTGAGGGAAGAACCCTGAAAGCCTTTTGAGATGCAGGGCACACACACAAGAGATCAGGGAAATGTGATGGTTCATAGGAAGATGCATTTAACCAACCAGGCGGCCAATACAATTGGGGCTCAGAAATATCCTAAATGACCTCTTCTGCACACACTGTGTTTGTAATTCTATTTAATTGCTCGGAAAGCAGTCATGCATGGTAAATAATATAGGAATATGTATTTTTAAGCCTGTGCAGTTTTATCCTTGTGACTTACTCTGAGTAATTTAATGGGTTGAGGGGGATTTACATTCCCACTGCCAACGGAAACTATTGAATGAAATGAAACTGAGGGACAGCAAACTTTCCCAATATCTTGTCCTAAAACCAAATCCATCAATTAATGTAAGCTTGCTGGCATAGTTTAATATGTTTTATGTGTTCTTTGTGCCTTCAGGAAATATCTACCAATTTTTGCGCAAAGGAAGAACTTATTATTTTTAAAGACCTTGTTCTCTGTGAACTTACAAAACGTGTTGTCTATCCCTCAAAATGAATATGCTATTTATGACTATTCACACAAAGTCTAGTAGGATAAAAGGAAAAAGTGATAACATTTTGATCCGACATGAATGTAAATTGAATGTTGACTGGTTGGTGGAGGTATATGCTATAGATTCAGTTTAGACTCACTTAAACTTCCTATTTTGTTTATTAAGGAAGCGTCACGGTTAAAGTACTTTTTGAAGTAATTTTGTATGTTTTATTGTTTGAGTAGTGTTTAACCGCTTTGTGATTCGGATCCATCCCAAAATGTAATGAGTTATTTATTTGCCATAAACCCTTCTATCAAGTTTTTAGAAAATCAGGCCACCAGTTTCTCCGTAATCCTGCAACAAAAATCTATCTGAAAACACGTCCTAACCTCGGAGGTTAATACGAAGTGAATCAGAGTGAGACGGATAACACTGTGACACAAATACATTTTTTTCCAAGATTAAATTCTTGCAAACATGCTAAATATGACAGCGTTGGTCGGTCACGTTGAACACCACTCAACAACCCACAGATACATTGTTTCAGAGGACACTAATGATAATCATGGACAAAACAGAGCGTGGCGGAATCCTAATGATTGGTAATGATGATGCTTGACTTAAAATTAAACAAGAGCCTCTCTCCCTATCTATTTCTCTCTCTCTCTCTCTCTCCACCCCCCCCTCTCCTTCTTCCCTGTCTGTTCCATTTAATTAGAAGAGGCACAGGCGCTCTGTCTCCCTTACTCAACCACACACACACACACACACACACACACACACACACACACACACACACACACACACACACACACACACACACACACACACACACACACACACAGACAGATCTGGAGCATAAATGTTGATTGCATAATGCCTTTTGGTTGAATTGAAACGCTCTGCATGTACACAAACAGACGAGAGATGAAGGGGGTAAAAACGAGATTTAAGAGACAAACTACATCCCCAAAAGTATGTGGACACCCCTGACTAAAATACTGCAGTGTAATGTTAGGGTCAACCCCTTATTACCAGTTATGAAGACTCTAAATGTGATGTTTTTATGAATTTTCAGTAGAGGGGCTGCTGTCAGGGGAGCGAAATGGATGCCTAGATGTTCCACACAAACATGTAGGTTTATGTTGGTTTGTCCACATACTTTTGGCAAATATAGTGCACTATAGCAGGAAAACAGTTTTTCCTCCACAGCTCTAAATGTAGCGAGATGTTTGTTCTGATTGCACGGCTCTATTGCAAAGTCATCAGCAGTATAACAGCCATATGTGTAAGTGAGTGTTTGTGAACACTCGGATGATTGAGGGCCCATCAGAGTGGGATATTATTAACACAGCTGAATGGAGAGCGTTATTAAGCTGCCTCTATTGAAACCTACAGCTTACTCCCACACACACACACGCTCCTGCAGATATCGCTGCCTCAAGGAAATAATGTCTGCAAACCTTCACACACACCTAAGCCATATAGTCTGGATTGTTCTTCCACCTCTTTCTTATTATTTATTTGCCTCTCTTATTTGCTTCACTGCGAATGCTCCCATCACGACCAAGTAATGACTGACTGCGAGAAATTGTGTCTTCAGTTTTTCAGGGAATATATTTCCAGTTGGTGTTTCATCTGTTGTGGATGTGTGTTAGCTTTTTTTGTGTATGTTTTTCGACCAAGGTGAAGTTCTGATCTATATCTTACCAGGAGAAAATCATTGCACCCACTTGCTTCCTAGCTGGCACCGACATCAAATACACAACAAACTGAACAGCAAGACCAAGACTCTGATTCAGAGGGATGAAGAGGAAAGAGACTTCTATTGAAGTGTTGTTTAAATGTTGATTATGGGAGCGTAGCCTGCTGAGAGAAGCTCACAGGCTAAGGATTCATCCCGATCTGGTGAAAAACATCTCCAAAAGTGAACTTTTCAGGAAGAAAACATAATGGATATTTGATTATGAGAAAGTCCACAAAATCATACAAACACTCAAAATCAGAATGAATTGTATTACCTGTTGAACAAATGTTGGTTAATAATAATACACATATTTTCATAGGAGCTTTAGTACTGAAATACATTTTCAATTCAAAACATTTCATATAAGAATACAAAACAACTTTCAAAAAGTATAAAAACAGAAGATGCAATGAAATTAATTGGAAAAAAAATCTGATTATACAATATAAATGAGTCTAAATGTATATGGGGTAATGCTTTTTTTCCACTCCAGTTATATCCTAACATTAGTATTTATTTATGAATGCATCGATTTATTGAAATATTCAGGTATATTGAAAAGGTTCCAAGATGCTGCACTCTATCCTGACATAAGGATGGCTGTTTCCTGAGTTTAACAATCGAATGAGGTTCTTTCCATCTTGTTGCTGACATTTCTTCTATTGAAAAATGTGCCAAGAAGCCTGGGAACTCTCCCTCAGATCAGTGTGGAAGAAGTCAGGTTCTTGTCTTGGCGGAAACTTGCTTGTGTTGACAAAATCTATGAGAACATAACACAAGGTCGTAAGAATGATGAATGACTTCTCACTGCAGCTTCAGTGTGCGCATAAATGTAACCTGATACCCTGTCTGGGAGAGATATTACACTTCGGCTCCTGCCAAACAAAGAATAGAAACATCCAGAGGCCTTTTGTTAACTGTTCGGGGGACAGATGACAAATAGGGTGACGAGAAGTTTTTAATACTCTTTTGTCAGTGACAAATGTAACCCTCTTGTCTTCATGCGAGCCTGTGG